TCAGAAGAAGAACGGTACGGTCATGGATATAATGTTTGTATCTCCGAAACTGTCACTTCTCTTTTTGCGTGCAGTTTATTTTTACTGCCTACTTGGTATTCCATGGTAAAACGATAGTTGCGAACATAGATTTGGGACCGATATGGAATTTTGATACGGAGCGTGCCATCTTTATATAATTCACATTGATTTGACAATGAAAAAAGGGAAAACATATAGTGGTCCATAGGACTTGTCTTTGCATTCTACTGTGTTGGCCGGACCGCCGTACAATAAACATAAATGCAAACATACTGTATATGTGGGTTAATTCGGCTAGGCAATGGAGTCCCATGGATACGAAAATTACAGAATAGTACCATCATACCATTGGAATCAAATGTTAGATACTTAGGAATACAAAATTGTATATTTACCATGCTTTGGTGAGGCTTTTTGAATTTACTAAGGCGTATATACGAGGGATGTCTTTTAAGTTTTGCATATGGAAATAAAACAACACGGTAGGTAGTTTTAAGTGACTTTATTGTTTTTCAAAGTATTCTCCACGATGATTACTACACATCTGCATGCGCTCGAACCAATTTTCGAAGCACTTATACCACTCGTTTGCTGGTAGATCCAAAACGGCATTTTTGAATGCGTCAACTGCTTCTTCCGGTGACTGGAACCTTTGACCACGCAGTCTGTTTTTAATTTTCGGGAAAGTAATGAAATCGTTAGGACTTAGATCGAGACTATATGGAAGATGGTCCAATAATTCCACGTTTTCTTCCATTAAATACTGTTTTGTTTTTTGGGCTGTGTGCGAGCTTGCATTGTCTGGGATGAGGATGATTCTTCTTTCGTAGTTGATTTTTCGATGCTCGGTGATGACTTTTGGCAAACAAATGGTGGTATACCAATCCGCAGTAACAGTTATTTGCTCATTAAGAGGAATTGTTGCAATATGACCCGCTTTTGACACAAATGTCGCGACCATCTTTTTCGAAACACTTCGAGAACGGATGACTTTTATTGGCTTTTCTTCACCTTGGAACACCCAAACAGCCGACTGTCGTTTATTTTCTGGTTCGTAACAGTAAATCCACGATTCATTACCACTAACAATGCTGTACACATTTTTTGAGTTTCCGGAATTAAAACGGTCAAGCGTTTTTTGACACCAATTAACCCTGGCTGCTTTCTGCTCCTCAGTCAACAGGTGGGGTATCCAACGAGAAACTAAGTTTCTTACTCCTAATTTTTCATGTAAATTTTTTTGAATTGAGGTCTTTGAGATCTTCAAGGACGCCTCAATCTCGCGATATGTCACATGTCTATCTTCATTGATCAGTTTGCGCACAGCATCGACGTTTTCCTGGGTGACTGACGTTTTTGGTGCACCCACCCTGGGATCGTCGCTAAGACTCACCCGTCCACGTTTGAATTCTTCATACCAACGGGAAATTGTCGACTGATGTGGCGCTTCGTTACCGAAAACAGACAGTAACTCAGCAAGGCATTCTTGTTGCGATAATTGTCTCTGAAAGTTGTAATAAATTATGGCGTGAAAATGTTCTCGGTTGAGTTCCATTCCTAATGACTTGGTGATACTTAAAAATTGTTGTGAAACTTTGAATTTAAGTTTACTAAAGAGTGAGGTTAAGATTCAGTACTGACGTTCGATCCGCGCGGCCTACTATGTTTCTATATGCAAAACATAAAAGACACCCCTCGTATACATATACCAACTTCCAAAGATTTATTATGTCTGGGGTAGGCAATTCCGCTTGTAAAAGACGACCAGCATCTCCATAGCGACAAGTTATCTGTTGTTTTGGACGCACCAGACACGTCATTCTCGCTCGTCAACCCGAAAACCTCTGTCTTTTAGAAGAATTTCTTATGTATCGTAGTGGCCAGACGCCAGTAACGTATGTTGGCAAAGAAGAGACATACGAGGTCTGTAAATTAAGTGACGACTGTCAACGTAGCGGTCGATCCGGCAACACTGGAGGCGCTGGGTTTGGAGGGGGGAGACATGTCGTGATTCGTCTCCAGTACAGGTTTGAACTCGCTCCAGTCATTTGTGAGTTTTTTCTATTGTGCTTCAGACTTTGGCACAGAGCCCAGGTTTTTTAGTGTTTAACAGTTTTCCATAACGAAACATATAGGCATAATATCTAAAAGTATCGCATAACGACGATTTTTATGTCCCAATGAGAACTTGAATTATTTGTTATTTTGATATTTCCATTACAAGTAATAATTAAAAGGTCATTAAGATGGTGTTGGCGAGTTTTATATTGAATTATTTCAGTTTTTCTTGGCTTCGATATAAGTAGCTACTAGCAAAATAGTGTGTTAATGAAACCAAGAATTGTGAAGATTTTTTCTCGCTCAGCGTAAGCCACGTAACGTTCAAATTCAGAAAATTTGTATTTTATGTCACTGCCGTATAGTATGAAAAGTATGGGACCTAAAATATACTAAGTGACATAAAAATCCGAACACCCAGTTTAAATGGTTTTATTTTAATAAAATTTTGTATAAGTACTAAATGAAGCATAATAAGTAAATGATAAAAATTTCAAAATGATTGCACTGCTTTAAAGCCCTTTGACCTTTAATAATGTGTGGATGCACCCTGATGTGCTACGCATTCTCCAACGCGCCTAGGCATGCTTCTGATCAGGTGGTCAATGTCCTCCTGTGGTATCTCATTCCAGGCAACCACCAAGTCCTCTCGAAGTGCTTCTAGAGTCTGAGGAGGACGTTGCAAATTGAGCAATTTCCTACCCATCATATCCCACACGTGCTCAATTGGGGATAAGTCGGGAGATCTTGGTGACCATGGTAACAATGTGACATCATTATGTTGAAAGAAGTCTATTGAGACTCTTGAAACATGTGGTCGGGCATTATCTTGTTGGAAAGTTGTATCTGCCAGGGTGTCAAGATAGGGTAAAAGATGGGGTTCTAGAACTTCGTGGATATAACGCTGCGCGTTCATATTACTTTTGATGAAGATTAAAGGTGACCTGGAACCATAAGCTATAGCACCCCAAACCATAACTCCAACAGTGTGATGAGCATGTCTTTCAACAAAAAACTGTGGATTCCTCCTTTCACCACGTCGCCTTCTAACCCTGGTACGACCATCGTGCATGCCTAAACAAAATCGAGACTCATCACTAAAGACAATACTGTTCCATTCCTGATCCCAGAGTGACCGTTGTCTGCACCACTCAAGGCGATTACGTCGGTGTTCTCGAGTTAAAGGGAGGACCCAGTGTGGCCGGTATGAAAACAAGCCAAAACTTCTCGTTCGTCGGTAAACACTTCGCATGCCAATAGGTCTTCCGTGTTCTGCAAACCATTCATTTGCAATGGACCTGGTAGTAGAGAAACAATCCCTTAAGGCCAATAATCTTAGGCGGCGATCTTCACGGTCTGTTGTTCTACGGCGGCGTCCAGTGCCCCTTGCTCTTTGCGTACGGCCTTCTCGAAGCCATGCCTGACAACACCTAACCACAGTGTATACACTTCTTTGCACTCTAACTGCAATTGCCCGAAAAGAAAGTCCAGCTTCCCAAAGTCCCACTATACGGCCCCTATCAAACTCACTAAGTTGACGAAATCGTACAGGTCTCCGTACTCTAGGCATCGTAACCGATCGTAAAGGATGTCAAGAACCAAAATCCGCCAACGTTGATTCTTTACTGCGGCTGAAATATTCATTTTTAGAGCGTTAGTGAATTAAAAAAAAAGCAGTATAAAAACCGGAATGTCCAACTGATAAGGCTGAAAATTTTTTCACTTGTTATTTACAGGAAGATAAATACATTCACCAACTTGTATTAAAATAAAACCATTTAAACTGGGTGTTCGGATTTATATGTCACTTTGTATACATTCCTGAGGAACGCCCATACCTTTAAGCAAGCAGATTTTACCTAACCTTTGGATTCCCAGCATGTTTTATATGTTAGATATAAATTGGCATCGTTTGCCTAAGATTCTGTTTGCTAATCCTAAGAATAAGAGGATCCAGGTTGGTTGAGGCTATGCTTACTATTTAACGAGATTAACTTCTTCGATAAGTTCTAAACCCATTTCAATCGCTAGCGTTCGCAGTTGCTTGAAAGCTTTCACGTTGCCCATTATGCGAGGCAGAAGTTGAATAAATTCGACGAGCTGGAGATGGAGCTCATTACGGCACTTGGCTTGCTTCAATCTAGAATCAATCCATTTATTGCCTTAGTGCTTTAGGGAAAAAACGAACAAGACAATCTCCGCTTCAAGTAACGCGGATGGTTTCAGTTTATTCCAAGGGAATGGACCTAGAGATTTTCTAGGTACATGTTGAATTTTTTCTGTTTACTACTTAATTAGTAGGTTTTTTCTGGCATAGCAGGGATCTTCGTGTGTTAGTTGTTTTGAAGACTTCTATCTCTCTCAGATAAACTTCTTGTTGTGGCGTGGAGGCCGAAAAATCAATCTAATTTCATTATTGAAACGAACCTCATGTGGTATCCGCAATGGCGGCTCGTGGCAAAATAAAACAGGTGTTCTGCAAATCCGAATTTACCATTTTTTATATGTCAGTTCGATCCTGCGCTCCTTCTTGGCAGCAAATTTGTCGATCACCTTCCCGTTGAAATTTTCCATGGTCGAAATAAATTCCTTTTTAATGGACAGCATCGACAACGCTGTAAGGCGATCCTGGGTCATAGTATTTCGATGAAAGGTCTTGATTCTTTTCAATGTTGAGAAATTTCGCTCAGCCTCTGATGTTTACATAGGAGTTGTACCAATAATTTCCAATAGCTTTTTTGTTTCTTTTAGTGTTTCCTCCAAACTATTTTGTATCAAAAATTTCAAAAGAGACAGAGTTCCATGTAAATCTCGGCAATCATTCCGTGCATAAATAACAGACAACTCTGTCTTTAAACGACTTTTTTCTAATTCGGGATAAGACAAGCAGGTATTTTCCAACTTGTCATCAGGAAACTTACCACGGTATTCTCCAAAGTGTTCGGGAAAAAAAGGGATGCGGCTACCAAATGATCTTTGACTTGAAATCTGTCATTTGCAGAATTCACTATATTGTCGCATACTTCTAATGCGGCAACTCGGTGATCGTGAGTGTTATTATTACGTCGTCTCCTTTTGTTGCCTTGGGGTTCAGTGCAAATACTTTTGGCTTCATTTATTATGTCGTCAATTTTATTTCTCATATCGACAATACATTTTTCATAATTATCGATAGCCGTTTTAACTTGCGCTGGCTCGGTTTTTCTGGTTGAACAAGATGTCGACGTGAGGCATGACATGATGAAAACATGTCAACCAAAACACGAAGACAGAATCGTTTAACATACGGCGAATACCGCAAGCTGCCTTGCAAACGATTTCATTAGTGAAATTTTCTTCTCTGCATTCATCCATTCAATGAGTGATTCTCTGTTCTCAAACACTACATTTATTGTGCGAATATTAAAATTCCAAAGAGTTGTTGCTCCTTGGGGAATTTTTTCCCCACAATTCTGTTCAGTACCTCTACGCGTTGAGGAGAATTATTAAAAAATCCCGGAATATCTTTCAAATCCTCAAAGAAAACCTGAACATGAGCTTTTGCGGAAGCAACTTGGGACATAATCAGGTTTAACTGATGGGAATAGCAATGCACATAGTGAGCAAATGGATATCTTTGTTTAATTTTTTTGTTTGTTATGGTAATTTCCTATTAATGGATCTACGATGCTCAAAATATGTCTTGTGAGAGTATCAGCGTCACATTTTTCGGGATTCATATAATTTCAAAAACGTTCAATCTTCCTGTTGCACCCACAAATCCAGTCATTTCTGATGTAAATCTCCCTGCTGAAATGCCGCGTATAGCCCTTGCCCTGACTAACGCCCTGTGTTTCTATAAATATGTCCGGCAGCGGTCGACCTGACACCTTCAGCTCAATTTTTTTCTTCAAATGTGTATTTCCACAATCGTTTCACGCTAATAAGTCTGTAAACCACATCCATTGTCTTGCACTACCCTTCTACACAGACACAGTCAGTCAGCGAGTCACTAGTCAATCAAACGTAAGACCCAAAATATCTAAATAAAAAATTTTTCGCATTCAAATTTTTAGCCATGCCACGCGACAAGACCAATATGCCAATACCGCCGAGGACCGAGCACCGACCGACCAATCAGATATCGTACTTCGCATTAGATCTGTACGGATCTCTATAAATTGCAGCACATCCTTATGCTTAAATCGCGCATTTGATTTTGTAGAGTGAGACAAAAGCAAGCGCGTGCGGCTTGTGTCGAAGTAGTGCGCAGACCCTTTTCAAGTGGCCCATGAATAATGTTACGCTGCGGTCGCGACGAAAATGACGAGTACACAATTGGTCGATCATAATGCTTTCTCAGTACAAAACAGACTCGACGCCGTGTCTTGCGGGGGCAGCGTTGCCGGTATTGTTTCTATTTGTGTGATAACACGGAAAATAATTAATGATCAAATTACTACTGCTTTTTTCTGTTAAGACAAAAGTTTTGGCAGTTCTGCAGAACTTGAGAGCCAGCCGCCCCTGGTTATCCGCTATGTCAAACCTACAGCATTTCATTAACAATGACAGGATCCAGTCTGGTTCACGCTAGGCTGAGCACAACTATTTGACGAGCTTCTGTTTTTCGATAAGATCTAAATTCGCCTTAATATCTAACGTTCGCAGTTGTTTGAAAGCTTTCACGGGGGGCATTAAGCGAGGCAGAAGTGCCGAAGCTAAATAAATTTTACGCGCTGGAGATGGAGTTCATTACGGCACTTGACTTTTGCTCCATCCTAGAATCAATCCATTTATTGCTTAAGGAAAAAGACGAACAGAATAATCTTCGCTTTACGCTTTGGGAAACGCTGATCATCTTAGATTGTTCCAGCGGAGTGTGCCTAGTAATTTTCTGGCAAAGCTATTGCGATCAATAAATTGCATTCGATAAATATACAAAGAAAGGCAGCAGTCCAGCGGGAACTTAGATGAAAACAAAGGACATTCGCTCGCAATACGGGAACAGGAACGGGAATAAAGGATTGCTTATTGGCTTCATCAGGTGCAAATGGAAGTGCATCGGAGACATCAAAGTGGAAATGGATGCCCATATCACATCTGGACACTGGTGTAACCTGGAGGAAAGGAAGCAAGAAAGTGTAGAAAGGAAAATACAACTATACGCTATCAACAAGAGCCATCAGGCGCAACTGCTTAAATAAATCAAAGTCCAGATGTCTTTATGTTTCGGCGCGTGACATAATCAGATTTATGAAATATGCAAGGATTTGGGATACATTATCGAATCTTTCTGAAACGTTTATGATTCCAATGGTCAGATTCACATAATTCTGAGACACCCTTAACAGAAAAATGAGACAAATGGTCGAAGGATATTGGAAAATACCAAGCAAAAAGGGAAAGAACGCACTGATGCTAGGCCTCTTTTTCCACTGATGGCGTTAAACGTTTTTCCTTCCCTTCAAATAGCTGAATTACTTCCAGCTTGTATATATGATAATTTTCCGGAAACACAGCGAGGCCCAATATGTCCTTTGTGACGGCAAAATATTTCTCATCGCTGAATTTAAAATATACATCCTCTCCGTTTCGCTCACTCTCGATGCTTCACCCTGATCGTAGCTTGTAAAATTTTGCTGCCGCTATGCGGCGCTTGGGAGGTTGGACAACAAAGTTCCAAATCCGTTGGTATCTTTTTTAAATTGTTCTTAAAACTATACTCTTCAATGATATGTAACACTAGATACTTTATTCAAAGAACACACCTTCCGATTATTTATGAAAAACAATTTCAGTTAAATGGATGCAGTGGATGTCCTGATTAGTTTGTGGGTGTATTTCATCAATAGCTCGACGGATATTTTCCTCAAGAACATCAATTGTTTGAGGATCGTTAACAGTACCCCATAGGAAGTAATCCATGGGCGCCAAATCACAGCTGCGCGCTGTACAATGAACGTCCCCGCGATGACCGAACTTAGTGTATAGAAGATCGATTGTTTCACGGCTGGTGTGGCAAGTTGTGCCATCCTGCTGGAAACAGAGATTGTGCATGGTGTCTAATAGTGGCCACAAAGAACTCCTCAACATGTCTCTATAGCGTTCCCCGTTTACCGTCACGCTGTTACCATATTCATCTTGAAAAAAGTAGGGACAAATAATCCCACCACTTCAAAAGCCACACCAAACATTTACTCTTTTTGGATGCATTGGTTTTTCTATGACATGTGGATTTTCACAACCCCAAATATACTAAGTGACATATAAATCCGAACACCCAGTTTAAATGGTTTTATTTTAATAAAATTTTGTATAAGTACTTAATGAAGCATAATAAGTAAATGATAAAAATTTCAAAATGATTGCACTGCTTTAAAGCCCTTTTACCTTTAATAATGTGTGGATGCACCCTGATGTGCTACGTATTCTCCAACGCGCCTAGGCATGCTTCTGATCAGGTGGTCAATGTCCTCCTGTGGTATCTCATTCCAGGCAACCACCAACTCCTCTCGAAATGCTTCTAGAGTCTGAGGAGGACGTTGCAAATTGAGCAATCTCCTACCCATCATATCCCACACGTGCTCAATTGGGGATAAGTTTGGAGATCTTGGTGGCCATGGTAACAATGTGACATCATTATGTTGAAAGAAGTCTACTCTGACTCTTGCAACATGTGGTCGGGCATTATCTTGTTGGAAAGTTGGATCTGCCAGGGTGTCAAGATAGGGTAAAAGATGGGGTTCTAGAACTTCGTGGATATAACGCTGCGCGTTCATGTTACCTCTGATGAAGATTAAAGGTGACCTGGAACCATAAGCTATAGCACCCCAAACCATAACTGCAACAGTGTGATGAACATGTCTTTCAACAAAAAGCTGTGGATTCCTCCTTTCACCACGTCGCCTTCTAACCCTGGCACGACCATCGTGCATGCTTAAACAAAATCGAGACTCGTCACTAAAGACAATACTGTTCCATTCCTGATCCCAGAGTGACCGTTGTCTGCACCACTCAAGGCGATTACGTCGGTGTTCTCGAGTTAAAGGGAGGACCCAGTGTGGCCGGTATGAAAACAAGCCAAAACTTCTCATTCGTCGGTAAACACTTCGCATGCCAATAGGTCTTCCGTGTTCTGCAAACCATTCATTTGCAATGGACCTGGTAGTGGAGAAACGGTCCCTTAAGGCCAATAATCTTAGGCGGCGATCTTCACGGTCTGTTGTTCTACGGCGGCGTCCAGTGCCCCTTGCTCTTTGCGTACGGCCTTCTCGAAGCCATGCCTGACAACACCTAACCACAGTGTCTACACTTCTTTGCACTCTAACTGCAATTGCCCGAAAAGAATGTCCAGCTTCCCGAAGTCCCACTATACGGCCCCTATCAAATTCACTAAGTTGACGAAATCGTACAGGTCTCCGTACTCTAGGCATCGTAACCGATCGTAAAGGATGTCAAGAACCAAAATCCGCCAACGTTGATTCTTTACTGCTGCTGAAATATTCATTTTTAGAGCGTTAGTGAATTAAAAAAAAGCAGTATAAAAACCGGAGTGTCCAACTGATAAGGCTGAAAATTTTGTCACTTTTTATTTACAGTAAGATAAATACATTCACCAACTTTTATTAAAATAAAACCATTTAAACTGGGTGTTCGGATTTATATGTCACTTAGTATACTACAGTGCTTTCTGCTTGTTAACGTAACCTCCCAGCAATGTTTTCGAACACGCTCATACCTTCTGTTATCCATAAGCAGGCCAGTTTCACGAACCGTCTTTACGAATTTTCTTCACAAAAACTAAGAGATAGTATTTTAACAAAGGTAAACAGAAAAGATAAAACGTTGACATTGTTGTCACAGCAACGAAACGTCATATTGAAATTCCAATGATGCTAACTTGTAGAGGAGAAATTCCACCTCAAAGAAAGTCAGGAAAAATAAAAACAAATTTTTCCAAAATTAGATTTGTTTATTTCCGAAAATACACCGAATTGCGAGTTAGGGTGAATATTATACACGTAGGAAACGTGCAAATGGCAAATGTCACCGCGGTTCCCTCAGCGTCGTTTCTCCTCAATGTGCGCTGCTGGAATGTCAAGATGTTTTCTTCAGCTTCTTTCAAAGGAACAATCCTTTTTTGAGCTGGATAATGTTGAACTCGACTCGATATGGAAAACTCTCCCACAACCCTCCTCTTTGAAATACGATTTGTCTGTCGACATCCTTTTGATGTAAAGAACGGCTGTTCTGCCAAATA